AAGCTGTTTTTGCTGTTTTAGCCATTGAGCAGGGTGAGCACAGAAAGGCCAAGACTCCTACTCCGCCATCTTTTCTGAAAATCTTGTTGATAAAATTGTGGCTGCAGTAAATCTAATAAACTGGAGACCAGACACTTAACCTGTGGCCAACCGATGAAGCAGTCTGTGGACAGTGTTTTATCCTTTGCATCCCATAACATACCGAGTTTAGTGGTATAGCACATTTAAACACGGCATGAGAGCCGAACAAGGTACTGAACAAAAGCACATAATAAAAGCAATCAAAAATAAAACTAAATCCGTTAAAATCGAGTAACCCTCCCTGCACCTGTCCCCCTCCCTACTGTACACTCCTTGTTCCCTACTCTCCATGACTGATGTCAAGTTGTTGTTTTTGTTGTTGTTAGCCTCAAGGGCAACATGCCGATTATCACTTGTAAGTCGCTTTGGACAAAAGCGTCTGCTAAATACATAAACATAAGATGTGGAGGGGGCATGCAGAGGTCTTCATAGAGTTAACTAGTTTGGTTAACTCAGGCAAAGAAACAGGAGCAAAGCTATCTAGGATGATGGGCCTGGTTGGAGTCGGGAGAGGCGGCGATAAGGCTGAAGGAGAGATGCTAGATCTAACCTTATTGACTTTGTCCACAAAAAAAGACAGAAAGTTCTCACAGTCTGCAACAGAGTGGATGGAGCCCCCTGCTCCGTTCTCATCGTTGAAAAAATCTTATCAATCGCGTTGAACGACCAGTTTATCAAATCCATTTCTATACAGGGTTTCCAGAAGAAATGTAGAGAAGCACTCTGTGGGCAGGCAGGACAAAGAGCCTTGGGGAAAAAAAGATAAGGGAGCAAAAAGAGAAGCGTCTGTTCTCTGCGAGTGCCGGAAGAAGAATCTGGGTCGTTATCAGAAGAACAGGGTGGACCAAAAGCAGCAGAAACATTAGCTAGCTGTGCTCTCATTAAGAAAACGAGAACTAACCATACGGCGAGCAGGAGGTGGGAACGCAGAAACTGACAAGTTAAAGAAAATGCAATGGTGATCTGAAATATAAACGTCCTCAGGACAAACACTGTCAGCATTTAGACTCAGGGTCAAAACAAGGTCTAGAGTGTGCCCCCTGGTGTGTGTGGGGCCAGAAACATGCTGGGTAAAGTTGAAGGAGTCCATGAGGCTGGAGAAATTCATGGCAAAGTGATCAGAGGGATCATCAACGTGGATGTTAAAGTCACCAACAATCACCAGTCTGGACAGCTTCACAGTGGAGGATAGCAAGTCACTAAACTCCTGAAGGAAAGAACTGTTTGGACCAGGTGGACGATAGACCACAGCACAGTAGAACGGGTCCTTACGCCCGACTTTAATCAGCTGCAGTTCAAAGGAAGCAAAGTGACCAGAGGTTGTAGAGCTACATGGAAGATGGTCTCTGAAAACAACAGCTAGGCCTCCACCACGACCAGAACCCCGGGGCTGGCTAAGAAAAGAATAACCACTCGGGCAGAGTTCAATCAGAGCAGAATAATCAGATGTTTGCTGCCAAACTTCAGTCAGAAACAGAAAATCCAGGTTTTTAGACAGAATTAGATCATTGAGCAGGAAGGACTTATTGTTAACAGAGCGGGTGTTTAATAGAGCCATGCTGTGTGAGGTGGAGGAATCAGAAACTACAGAACCAGCTGGAGTTAGTGGACGTACATTAGCAGGGTTAGATCCACGGTGTTTATAAAAACCACTTATAGAGGGAACAGGAGGAGAAACCACTGAGGAATGAGGATAAACCCACCTTAAAAAACATGGACGGATGAACCGCGCTGCAACACGGCCTGGCGGGAATGCGGAAGTGGTGCTCAGGTCACCAAACAAAGGACAAGAAGCTGGAAGATCACGCCGATGTTTACCAGATAAACCACGCTTTAAGAGAAGTCTTATTCTCACCTGGATTCCTGCTTGTTTACCTCTTTTCCTCCGACGTTTTCCCGGGACCGGACAAACATCGCTAGAGGCGCCCTGGTTAGAATCGTTGTTTGGCTCCGGGCCGGTGCGCCACTCAGGTAAACAAACAGGATGGTACATCCTCGCTGCATCTTGGGCGATCGTGAAAGAATGTGAAAGGACAAAAGAGTCTGGCGATCATAGGAGATGGTAGCGGGGACACTACTGAAGAGGATTCCAAGGTGGAAAAGAGGAGGTTAGTGGAGAAAAGTTTGAAAAAGTGGCCGGTGACCACGGCTAAGCCAAGCACAGACGCCATCTTGTTACCGACCGGAAGCGGAAGTAGATAAAAAGGGTGCTCTGTGAGGGACCTTGGAAGGAGAGTGTTAGCAGAGTTTCGTTTACCCAGCGGTTGGTCCAAGACTCCAAAATGAATCTCCAGGATTAAAAAGGAGGAAATAAATCCATAAACAGAGCGTCTGTTTCACGGGCCTTCACTGGTGGTAGCACACACTGATTGCGGCCACTAAAACACCAATGCTCCCTTTTATTGGTCAATTTACGAGGTCAAAGTTTAACTTCCTCTACAGGTACTTTTCAGTATAAAAGCATACATGTATATACACACACACACATTCTTATTTACAAATTTACACAGATGCATAACATAACAGAGCATAACAGAGCACATTAGACTGATGCTTAACACCCCCACTTGCTCTGTGATTGTTTGCACTTGTCTTCTTGTTTTAACTTTACATTCCAAATAACAGTTTGTTGAACCTGTTCAACTTACACACAGTTGTAGGTTTAGTCATTACATCTGCGAGCATATGTTCTGTTGGCAAATATATTAAATCCATAAGTCCTTCTTTAAATGTTGCTCTTATGAAATGATATTTTATGTCAACATGTTTACATCTTTGTCTGTTCACAGGGTTTTTAGCTAAAGCTATTGCACTCTGATTGTCCTCATACACCTTTGGTTGTCCATATTCATAACTGTCCATGTGCTCAAGAAGTTGCATCAAATATAAACATTCCTGGACAGTGGCTGCTAGAGACATGTACTCCGCTTCACACGTAGACAAAGCAATTGTAGACTGCTTTTTGGTTTTCCAGGATATAGGTGGTCCCTTCTCTGATAGGCTGATGCAATAACCTGTCATACTCTTACGATCTTTTGCATCTGAAGCCCAATCTGCGTCACTGTAAGCACGTAGTCCTAGCTTTTCACCTCCACATTTCTGGTAGCATAGTTTCTTCTCTTGTGTGCCTTTGAGGTATCTCAATACATGCTTGACTGTGGTCCAGTGTTGTTCTGTAGGGCATGAGAAATATTGTGAAACTTTACTTACTATGAAGCTTAAATCTGGTCTTGTACATGTTGACAGGTAAATAAGACTTCCCACGGCTTCTCTATACAGTTTAACATCACTCAGTCTTTCTGCATTTTCATCATGTTCCAACTTCTGTTCACATGGTGTGGTCCTAGGTTTGCAATCCTGCATATTAAATCTCTCCAGTATCTTTTCTGTGTATCTGGTTTGTGACATTGTAACAGCCCTCTCGTTCTGCTCAAAATCGATACCAAGAAAATGTTTCAACTTGCCTAGATCTTTCATCTTGAACCTGGCTGTTAAAACCAACTTTATGTCTTCTAGTGCCCTTTCATCGGAAGCTGCAATGATTATATCATCAACCCACACTAGGATTATTACCTTGTTTTCTTTCCTTTGCCTGGTATACACACAATGATCAGCAGGGTTTTGTACAAAGTCATTATCACACAAATATTCATGTAAAACAGTGTTCCAGTTTCTACCTGCCTGTTTGAGTCCATATATAGCTTTGTTTAGTTTACACACTAGTTTCTCATTCTTTTGAGTCAATATTTCATAACCTTCTGGTTGCTCTAGGTATATTTCATGATCTATCGGGGCATGGAGGTAGGCGGTTTTAACGTCCATTTGATGTAGCAACAGATTTTCGTGCACTGCTTTCTGCATTAGGATTCTAACGCTGTTTAAATGTGCCGTAGGTGAGAAGGTTTCCTCATAATCTTCTCCCTTTTTCTGACTGAACCCTTTAGCCACATATCTAGCTTTATGTTTATCTGTTCCATCTACATTCCTTTTAATGGTAAACACCCATCTTCCCCCCACTGTCTTTCTGCCTTCTGGCAAAGTTGTCAGAGTGAAAGTGTCATTGTCCTTCAGTGAGGCTAGTTCTTCCTCCATGGCTGCTTTCCATGCCTCTGAGTCAGGTGATTTTATTGCATCTCCATAAGTTAATGGTGCATCAGTAAAAAGTCTGTAGCAATAGTCCAAGTTAGTTAAAACTTGATCATCATCCTCTCTTACAGAACCTTTTGTTGCATAATCATTCAAGTAGCTCGGTCTCCTTCTCTCTCTGGTGGGATAACGCGATGTTTGTTCTGGTTCTAGAGGTTTTGTATGACTCGTTCCTTCTCCTGGGTCTTCCTCTTTCTGCCCGGGTGTTTTGTCTTTAACCTCTCTTCTTGTCCTAACTAGGAACTCTGGTTCATCATCTGACACTATTTCTGTTTGTGTCTCTTCTTCAGGTTCTCTTGTTAAAAACTTAACTAATCTGTGTTTCAGAATCTTACCACTTTCTGGGAAATAAACCAAATATGCTGGACTATTTTTGTCATGACCCACAAAAATCCCTTTTTCACCTCGAGAGTCAAGTTTGCCTTTGTTCTGTTTGTACACAAAACAGGGTACACCAAATTTGTGCATTCTTGACAAGTTCGGTCTTCTACCGCTTAACAGTTCATATGGTGTTGCTTTCAAACGTCTATTATAACATCTGTTCCTCGTAATGGCCGCCGTTTGAACAGCATAAACCCATAAGGACTTCGGTAGGTTACTCTCTAAGAGCATACATCTTGCCATATCAAAAAGCGTTCGCCAGCTTCGTTCAGCTGTGCCGTTCTGGTGTGGGGAGTAAGGGGCTGAAGTTTCATGTTTTATCCTATTCTCCCTGAGTAGTTTCTGGTACTCTCCACATGTAAACTCAGTTCCATTATCTGAACGTATACACTTTATGATACCATATGGTGCGGTGTCAGCAATGAATTTCTCTGTTGCTTGCACTGTATCACTTTTGTGTTTGAGAAAATACACAAATATTGCACCGGAAAAGTCGTCAGTGAATGAAACAGCATACCTAAATCCCTCTTTTGTTTCTGGACTTATTGGCCCTGCCAGATCTGTATGCACGAGTTCCAAAACAGTCTTAGCTTTAGCATCCAGCTCTCTATTTCTTGTCTGACAAAATTTACCTTTTATACAGACTTCACAGTCTCTTTCTGTTCCAACAGTTTTATCCTTGATGTCCATCCCATCTACTACTCCCTGCAGTTTCTTAATGTCATCAAAATTGCAGTGTCCCATTATCTCATGCCATGTTTTCAGGTCATAAGAAGCATTACATTGGTCTGTTTGTTTTCTACTCACAGTTCGTAGATAGAATAGTCTGTTGTACTCCTTGATGGGGAATCTCGTTCCATCAGAATGTCTCAGTACATTATTACCTCGCTTGAAGATGACCGTTGCTCCATTGGTAGTAGCTGCCTTCACAGAGAAAATGTCTTGTGGATATGAAGGGATGTATAGTGCTCTCTTTAGCACCACCTTGTGTTGGACCCCTCTGCTGTCGATCAATGTTACCACAGCCTCTCCTCTCCGTTCAGCCACTCCTCTGCTCCGGGTTCCGTCTGCCAGCTCGATGTAATGAGACCTCGGCTCGAAGTCCTCGTCGAACCTCCTGAACCTCTCTGGATCCGTGATAATGTGGGACGTTGCTCCTGTGTCCACCATCAGATTCCTGGTTCTGGTTTCGTCCATCTCGCCGTCAGCGTCTTGTAGTCGGAATGCGTATTCCTTTCCCTCGTAGTCATCAGCAGCTTTCCGTGCTTCATCATCTCTGTGTTTCTTTCTGCACACTTCAGTCTGGTGCGTGGTGGTCTTGCAATGCCTACACCACTTTTTGCGGTCACATACATTAGCTTTGTGTCCCTTTTTACCGCATTTAAAACAAATAAAGTCTTTACTATCAGCGCTCCGCTCGTGCATGCTTGGTTGAACATATTTCGGCTTCAGGTGCTTGACCCTCTCATTCATCCGTGCTGCCATCACATTGTCCTCTGTGGCAGTGTCCACACGCAGTTTTTCAGTTTCTTCATAACTTCTCAGTTTACTTTTAAATTCTGAAAAAGTCATGTCATCATCACTTTGTGTCACATGGATTCTAAAAGGCGTAAATGATTCAGGTAGACCTTTTAAAACCATTGCTATTAGCAGTCCATCGCTCAAAGTTTCACCTGCGGTTCTCAGCGCTGTAATGGCGGCCTCGGCTCTCAAAACATAATCCGTTACACTCTCGCCGCTCTTCTGCTGTAATGCAGTCAGTTCTGTATATAAGCTTATTATGCGGGGTTTTCCCTTCCCGGCATAGTGTTCTCTCAAGATAATTAGAGCTTTCCGCCCGTCGTCAGCTGCGTCTCTCATCACCAGTGAAAGGCTCTTATCATCCAGGAATTGTATAAGTTCGGCATATGCCTCTGCGTTCTTTGAATCATATTCCTCATCATCGTCATCGTCTTTCGGTTTTAATATAATGTCTTTCAAACCTTGTAGCCGGAGGTGTCCGAGAAACTTTGTTTCCCACAGTTCATATTTATCCTCGTCTCCGTCAAATACCAGTCTTGACCAGCGGGTACTGGCTTCCACTGTCTTCCGACTCATAGTGTCCGACACACGTCGTAGCTCTCACTCGACTCACCGGACTTGCTGTTGGTCGGTTCTGTGCTCCTCACACGCTAGCAGGATGCTTTCCCAGCTGTCCTGATTAGCTTGGTGCTCAGCGTTCCTGGTTCACAATTCATTCTGGTCCGGGCATCGCTCTGGGCTCTGCTCTGGGCCCATAACCTGTTAGCAGAGTTTCGTTTACCCAGCGGTTGGTCCAAGACTCCAAAATGAATCTCCAGGATTAAAAAGGAGGAAATAAATCCATAAACAGAGCGTCTGTTTCACGGGCCTTCACTGGTGGTAGCACACACTGATTGCGGCCACTAAAACACCAATGCTCCCTTTTATTGGTCAATTTACGAGGTCAAAGTTTAACTTCCTCTACAGGTACTTTTCAGTATAAAAGCATACATGTATATACACACACACACATTCTTATTTACAAATTTACACAGATGCATAACATAACAGAGCATAACAGAGCACATTAGACTGATGCTTAACAGAGAGAATGTTATTGTTATCAATCAAAGCTTTATTTATAAAGCGCCTTCCGCAACCCTGTCAGGAAGCCCAAAGCGCTGAACATGGTTCAGTTGTAGGTAAATATATTGAATAAATCAAAAATAAAAGCAATTCAAATTACAAAATACAAATTACAAGATAGATGAAACATTCTGGTACAGGAAAAATGTGTGAAACAGTGGATTTAGGGAACCAATGAAAACTGAAATAAATTCAACATAAAAGAGGCCAAAATCAAACATGTTCAGGAAACGCCAAGCGGAGGAG